AGTTCTAAATACCGAGGCCGCACTAGCTTATATTGTCGAATGCACTTATACAGATTCTGAGTCGGACCCAATAAGTCCCGGGAAAGGCTATCCAAACAGGGAATGCGCGTTATAATTCCTAGACAGGATATTTACTAGACGCCCTAACTATTCCGCGGTTCCCGCACAAAATTAACAGCGTGCAAACATTAGCACATCTGGCAGATGACTGCCTCGCTTGCGACCCGCGCGCCACTGCCACGCCCCAGACGAAGTTCAAACCGGAATCGCGCCGAGCTGAGTGACATCTGGTGTCGACTCCGACATCAACGTTTTGCGCGAACAAACCCCCGTCCCGGACATAAGGATTTAGGTCCGCGAGCAAACCGGTCAGCGGGACAAGGTCGAGACTGCAAGTTGCAAGACCGAATCTACAACCAAACTAGGCCACCTTAGGCAACCCATCAGGTCTTGCAACCCTAACCAGCGCCTCAAAAGATAGCCTTAACGTGGCGCCGGAGGGTCAGCCTCCACTGGATGCCCCTCCTGGGCATCGCAGCACTTTATCAAGTCCTGTATTGGACAGAAGTCCGACGACCTGTTTCAAACACCTATCTGTGCCCCTATGATTAGTTCCGCAATCCGACCGGATCAGGTCTGCAAACAGCGACGCGACACGAAGCGGCCCCGAGCGGCCTCCTAAGCTTCAGTGCAAAGAGCACCTACCAATTCCACATGAACGTCGTCTGTGGAGAGCCGAACGAAACGCACAGATAGTCCCTAGTATGAATTTTCAACAAGTAGGCCTAGCCAGGCCACCCACCATATTATCATTTACTAAAATAGTGCGGCAGCTGATTTCAATCTGATAATCTCCAAAACTAGCTAGCCTGTTAGGCAAGTAGTCCTATGCTCATATTTCAACTAATTTTTCAAAAGCATCAATGTTCAACTACAGAATTAATTCAACCAAATTAATCACCGATGCGCATAGGTCAACTTGCAAATTAAACAAAACAATAACGTAAGGGACAGCCCTACTTCTTCGCAAAGCAAAATGATTAAACACTATCATAAACATAAACATAATTTTTCAAATAGTGCGCCATTCAATTTCAGATGAATTCAAATTTTCCTTTCAGCAAGCAGACGCAACAATCAAATACAGTGATTAAATATATGTACAAAACACATGCAGTAGCATTTAAAGGAGTAGATTAAATTCAATTCTTTTAATTTAAACTGCTACAAATAGGAAAATTTCGCGGAAAGCCCAAAGCAATTTTTAATTTTAATTCAAGTATTTTTTGACTAAGTGCTCGATCAAACCAAATCTAATACCCCTTGACAACGTGATTCAACGCTCCAGGGGGGGGCCCTAATCTTCCCACCACTAAGGGGAGGCCACATGGCGTGAACCCGAGATAAATAGAGCACAACCTTTAACAGTTGCCACTCGGGTTGTACGCCTTCACTGAGGCCGTCGGCAACAGAACATTTTGACAAGTGGACTGTTGACGGCTTAAGGCTCAGTGGAGGCGGCCGTGGTGGGAACTAGGCAGCAGCTAGACAGGGCCGCCTCCATCAAATGGGGAACAGTGGTACACCAGTTGCGGCCACTCGGCTAACGGAAGTGAGAAGGGTCCAGCGGACCGATGAGTGGCCGTGAAGTTCCTCTCCACACGCTGAGGGGGGGTGATGACACCCCCGCCCCTGGGGGAATTACCCCCCGACTGGTCGGGGGAGGGGCTCCTTTCAAACTTAGGGGCCTGATGGCTGGCCGGCGGGCGCCAAGAGTCGCCCGGCAGAGGGCGTGGCTGAGCGCCCCCGCCCGTGGGGGTCGAGGGCCTGGCAGAGCCCCGAGAGGAGACGCCGTTCGCACCCAGGCACAAAACGGCATGGTGATTGCCCTGGCAATGCAGACAGGGCCGTCGATGCGGACAGTCTCGCTGGAGGTGCCCTCCCAGACATGACCAGCACCAGCGGCGCTCCTTGGCGATAGTTCGCCTCGCTGGAACCGGCTTACCTAATAATTTCGGGCACGACGTTACCCGATGATCAGATGCTCGACAATAGGAGCAGGGGGGGGTTGACGACGGCTTGCCTGGAGGATTCAGACTCTCACTGGGCACGGCTCGTAAGTCGTCAACAGTGCCCGCCGCGCTCTCTATCTGCCGGCACTGCTCCTCCAAAAACCGCAGCAGGTCATAGAAGGGCGGAATATAGGAGGCCTCGTCCCCGCCGTACCTCTCCTCAAAATGGATTCGCAGGTCGAGAGGTAGACGGGACAGCACGATGCGGAGCAACAAAAAAGCCCATTCGCTCACTGGTAAACCCAGCCGCCTCAATGTATTACAGGCCACCAAGACTGGATCCAACAGGTCCGGACGCAGTCGGGCCCGGTCACTAAGCAGCGGGAGGCTTAGAAGCTGCTTAACATGCTCGTCTGCAATTCGCCGGATGTTGGCGTATCTTCTGGCTAGGAGGTCCCGAGCAGTCTGGTAGGCGTCGTCCGACAATTTCAAGTGGCCGACGACGCCCAGGGCCTCTCCCTCCAGTGAGGCCAGGAGGTACGCCATCTTTTGTCTCGGGGTCAAGTCACTCCGGGCGTCCACTAGGCTGTCGAAAAGACCAACGAAGGTCAGCCATTCGGAAAGGACCCCGGAGAACTTTGGCAGGTCCAGAGTTGGGAGTCGTCCCAACAGCTCCGGCTGAAGCTGCTTCAGAGAGGACTCGGGCAGGTTACTCATCCGAGCTTCACGCGCCTCCTCGGCATACCTGCCTTCAGCCTCGATCAACTCGTCCGTGAGCCACAAGAACTGCTCATAGTCCGCAAAGCAAGAGTCCAGGACTCCCTTCTCCACATCCGAATCCTCGAGCTCAGCGTAAGCCTCCTCCACTGCGGCCCTTCGAGCATCCACCTGCTCGAACCGCTTCATCAAGTTATGGACCCTATCCGGTCGACCTATCAAAGCATGGGCGCTTGTGGCCCAGCGCAACTCAGTCCGCAGACAACGGATCAGTAGCTTAGGCGATGTCATCACTATTAAATACAAATTACGACGCGGCTTGAGCACAGATTACAAAGATAACAAACAAAAAATACAACAAAAATTAACAGTTAATAAATGCAGTTCCTATCAAATCGCGTTGAATAGAAATTACACAAATACGAATTACTACGTATCAACCAAATACAAGTTAGCTCAAAGAAAAGACACAATCAAATTAACAAATAACAAATACTAGTGCGATGAAATCAAGTTAAATTCAAAGTACGCAAATACAATTACTACTCCTTAGTTCAAATACAAATTACAGTACAAACGAAGATACACATCACGGTCGATCAACTAAAATGCCTAGCTCGGAAATCGAACCTTCGATAAGTAATCCACTACAACTATCCGACAACGATAATTAACCGATTACGTAAAAATAACCATCTACCTACATAACGTATATCTCTAGAAAAACTCCCGCTTGCACAACCTAGGGCGCGGCTTTTCAAATTACCCTCTAACCAAAAAAAAGGCAAGCAACAAAGCAACAAAGGAAAATAATTCTATTATTACGTACAAAAAAATATTTTTACGTATTACGGACGGGCGTGATTGTAGATGCAAATTAAACCAATCACACCAACGCTCCCTGCCACCAAAATTGTTTAATGTTTATCAAACACTATAGTCGGGATCGACCGGGAATCGAACCCGGAACCACGCTCTGCTACCAACATGTTACGGCCTACGGTTGCTCCCTTAAAGGATCCAATCCCCCGGGGCCCATCAGCAGAAGACTTCCCGAGCAAACGTAGGTCGGGCCTCCTAAGGCCACGTGGAAGTTCTCTAATTACACTAAATATATGGGGGAGCGTTATACTACGGCCAGTCGACCGGAAGGAATTTGGCGGAGTTCACTTACCTCTATCCAAGGCGACTGGTTCCTCCGGAGTCGGTCAGGTCGCATGTGGTTGTGTAGTGCAAGGGAAAGAATGGTGATGTGGTGTGTATCTGGGTGTGACTGATGGTGATTGAACCTAGACCTTAGCCGTCGGCAGCAGCCCGAGCGTCGATACCGCTCCAACTTGAGGGGGCCTTTCGAGGTTATCCACAGTCACTTTCTTGGTTCACCACGATGCCAGTCACTTAACTCTATCGTACGATTAACTAGCTTACAGAAGCCACTAACTATCGCGGGGTATAAGGTTACCGCACAAAACACGCCCGGAGTTTCTAGGTCAAAGGTCACTACCGTTTCGCGTGGCAACAGTTCTAAATACCGAGGCCGCACTAGCTTATATTGTCGAATGCACTTATACAGATTCTGAGTCGGACCCAATAAGTCCCGGGAAAGGCTATCCAAACAGGGAATGCGCGTTATAATTCCTAGACAGGATATTTACTAGACGCCCTAACTATTCCGCGGTTCCCGCACAAAATTAACAGCGTGCAAACATTAGCACATCTGGCAGATGACTGCCTCGCTTGCGACCCGCGCGCCACTGCCACGCCCCAGACGAAGTTCAAACCGGAATCGCGCCGAGCTGAGTGACATCTGGTGTCGACTCCGACATCAACGTTTTGCGCGAACACCACCCTTTTCGGGTATTAAAATAATTAATCAAAATTATAAAAGAAATTAAATAACATAACTTAGCTATTATAAAATTCTAAATTACATGTTGTTTGGTTGTAGCTAAATACTCTTTGAAACAGCGCGCACACAACGAACGAATCGCGCTCGAACTCTATTGCTGGCTCACTTGACTCGTTCATGTACAACAGCTCAAACTCGGGAGATCCAACTCGAGTTAACTCGAGCTAAGCCCAACTCGAGTTAACTCGTCTTAGTAACTTAAGACCAACCCCTTGCAACTGGGGAATCTGTGGGGGAGGCATATAATCAGCAGTGAACGTTAATAAGTTGTAACAGTAACGGTGACGCTAGTAGTAACTGGCAATAATAGCGAGCACATTGTATTAACCGATGATCGTACTATAGTTATAATTCAATTTTAGTTATCACCGGCATCGTCGTGCAACAACTTGCTACACCGCTGTATGTGGAAGAATACTCTTTACGCATGCGATCAACTGTTCCAACAAATAATTACGCCATTAGGTGTTTGCTGTACCTTCAACTATTACGCCGTAGACGCAGCAGAAGCCAGTTATAAATCGTACGTAAACACTTAACTTGTTAACAACGTTTTATGTATGGTGTGAATTAGAATAGTTACAATTATAAGTATACTATGTCGAATTAAAATGTAACCACAGTTAAAATTAAAAATTCCCTTAAACGAATTGTATCGAATTATATTTTTTTTATAGGATCGAGTGACAAACAAGCACACAGTCCACCTGATGGTAAGTGGTTGCTGTGGCCCATAGACATCTACATCTATCCTCGTTTGCGAATCAAAACGCAGATGCGTTGTCACTCGTGAGGCCTAAGATGGAATACCTCTTATCCAATAAAAAGGGTCTCCGGTTCGCTACACTCACCATACGAAACACATCAGTGTTAAGCTGCTATTTTACGCTGGTATTCTGTGAGAGCGTGAACCTTCCCCGGTCAAACCGACCCATTTATGCGACAACTATACTACTAATATAGCTGCAGCATGGCTCTACCACCTATAAAATGTTATGACAATGTTATGTAAATGACACTTCATGTCTCTGGCTCTGAAGATAGTTAAAAGCTCGAGTCCATCTGTGGTTCTTTCTTATTAATGGTGGAATTGGTAAAATAGTATTTATAATATTACTAGTAATGGCGTAAAATCTACCACCCCTTAGTTCGCACCATGAACCAGTAAATATTTGTATATAAAAAAAATTATTTATAGGCCGTTTGTTAAATTTATGGCGTGATCGTCTCAGTTAAGATCCTTATCTACGTTGTGTTTGTTTAGTAACTTAGTTCTTTTAGGTGTCTCTTGGAATAATGAATATTTACTAGAGCAATCGAAAGACGTTGGTAGTGATTTATAATTGTTTTAATTTAAAGAACCCCGTTTACGAAAAGAACCCAAAAAGGTTAAGAAAATTAAATCGTTCCTATTCCACTTGTATCAGGCTTAAATCAATCAATTTCTTTTTAATCAACCCCACTTGGAAAAGGCTCACAATATTTAATATAAAATTCAATGGCTTCGCTTTCCCACATTCTAAAAAATTGTGGAACAGGCACACGGCGGCAATGGAGCCGACCAACCATCGCGCTTTCCCTTTGAAAAGACACGTTAAGTTGGGAACTGGATCGTTAGTCCACAGCAAAATGTATACATATTATACGAACTGTATTTATCAGATTTGAAACTAAAAAAAAAAACTATAATCCTACTAACTATATTCCCTAAATAAATCTATATGACATAAAAACAAAAATAATCATTATATTTATCATCATTATATACATCACAAACATCGACGGAAGTCGCGCATGTCAATGCATTTACACGCCATACAGAATACGATCAAATCAAGCCACAGTGAATGTACGTCACACGGTTTAGGCACACGTCGAAATAATAAGCACACTGGCCATAAAACGCCCTCCGTGAGCGCCACCACCTGCCATACATACCGCTACTCCTCCGGACGTGATGTAAGTGTAAGGCATCACCACCAATTGGTGGTGTGAGTCAAATCAAGACACAGAGAGCGTTATTGAGAATAGAGACTTGCCAAACAACCATCGCAGAGACGCAATGCTGCAGAACGCAACAAGCATCAATACGACTATCGTCGGGCTTACACCATCCCTAGATCCCTCATACGAGCCAAGCAGATATTCCTACCCGTAACCTTCAACAAGTACCATCAGATGCGTCGAATCAAATGCAGCACACTTGCAGATTCATCACAAGACCCAATACCGCAAGTAGCAGTAAGCATCAATATAACTATCATACGGATGGCGCCCCATCACAACACACCCACATGATCCCTATTCACTTTGGCAACAAAATAGGTAAAGTTGTTATATAAAAATAGCACCAACTTATCATAGTAGCACGCTACTAAGACGCCAGTACAAAACAATCTATGCATCATAGAGCTATTGTACTAAGACATAGAGTTGAGTATGCTTGTTGCACTTAAAAGTGCTGCCAACACTCTCCCTATTCCGAAAGATAGCCAACGTATCATAAGGCTATGCGCTAAGACGCCGCCCACAATGGTTATATAAAACATAGTTACAAACGTTGGGGGTGTGCGATGTCCACGGGCAAGTCTTATTGCTACAACAAACCCACTTAGAGTCACAACTCTGTTATTATAATGCTTATGCATCTTAAAGACCTTACTATCATAAGTCCTTAATACAGGACTATTACACTGTGCAACAGTACTTTGGTAGTCAGCCACATGAGCATCATATATGTATATGTATGTGTATATCTCAATACCTACATAGTTCGTTCAGCGAATATGTACTTCTTTATATTGTCAGCTGTTATCTAGAACTAAGACTTGTATTAACAAGGTTATTTTATCACTATCGCTACGAGTACAGTGAATTAGACTAGACTGGACATTTATAGCTGGTCACAGTACTACATACATTTTTTTAATTAACTCGTTGAATTGGTAGATGTAATTAGTGCAAATCATCGCTGTATTTAGATGATGTTTCGTTTCATAATGAAATGAAATGAAATATTTATTTGCGTTTGGTTAAGTACATTGAAAATTGTCATAGTAACTAAACATTCGCTCAATCAGCCATTATTAATAGCATGTAAATCTTTAGAACTATAAAATATTGGGATAATAATATTTAAGAGTAGAGTGTCTATAACAAAATGCCAACAAATAGTCAATAAATTATCCCATAAATCAGATTTGTAGTTTTTCACTACATGGTTAAAGTCAAATTTTGCGATTTCGACTGATTGCATTCTATTTTGCATGTATGTTTTTGTCCAGCCTCTAAAGCCGCAGTGCTCTAACTTTACTAGAAGTTGATCATGCGAAACAAAATCGAAAGCTTTCGACATATCAAAGAAGAGCACCGTCGTTTATTGTTTGTGGTTTAGTTGTGTAAAGGTCTCATTCAATAAGTTATATACCGCATGTGTAGTGGATTTGCTTTTTTAAATTCATATTGATTGTGTTTTAGTTTATGATATTTATCAAAAAATGATGTAAGTTTTTCATACATAACCTTCTTATATACTTTGAATAAGATAGGAACCAGCGTAATGGACCGGTAGTTACTTACAAGTGTCTTTTATTCTTTTTAAATAGTGGCTTTACCAATGAGAATTTTAATTTTAAATAACCCAGAGACTGTTGACTGATTTATCAGAAACGCTAAAACAACATCTAATTGTTCATTACATATCTTGATAATATTTGTAGACACCTCATCGTATCCTTCAGAATTTGTGTTATTCAGTGATAAAATTATTTTCTTATCATAATATTCGTCAATGGGGGTCAAATAAATAGAGTTATTTAAAATACCATCAGGAGTTTCACGTAATATATTTGCATTATTTTTATTTGTCAATTCAATGAAATAGCTGTTAAAGGTAGTCGCAATCTGTGTTGTCGCAACAACTTGTTTTTGTATTCAATTGAATCTATATAATTATTACTATACTGCGGTCTGGCGTTAATTTCATCCTGTGCTACTTTCCAAGTAGCCCTACAAATATTTTTGCCTTTTAATACGTATTTCTGGTTTGTTTGTATTTTTGCTTGGAATAAACATTATTTTTAATATATATTTGAATAAGTGTAGTATTTACTTTTGTTAGTATAATTTATTTTTTTATAATAATTGTACCGTGGGATTTTGTTTTTACTGCAGCTTTTTTAATTCCCTTTGAAATACATTGTAGCTTTGCTTTTGTATTTACATACTATACATACTATATTTACTTTTTTTTTATAGGTTAAGGGTGATAAACGAACACAGTCCACCTGATGGTAAGTGGTTGCTGTGGCCCATAGACAACTACATCGATCCTCGATTATGAATCAAAATGCAAATGCGTTTTAACCCCTGAGCACTGAGATGGCATACCTCGTTTCTAGTAAAAGGGTCTCCGGTAAAAATAGTCTACTTTAGCTGCAGGAGTTATTTACTTAAAGTCAAGCGGCAGTGCCTGTTCTGGTGTGTTCCGGTCTGCCCAGTATAGAGCTATGGAAAGTACTGACTGATTATACTGATAATTACAGACTATGTGAGGCGATATATCTTCGTCCTTAGTGCTGTTTTCTTAAGGTTGCAGTGGCCACTCGTATTTATGGTGTACTGTAACTTTGTTTGTCACTTCAATGTTAAAATAATGTGTCAATAATCTGTCACTTGAGGTCTTTGTCTTAAGGTACTTGTACTTTAGTTCTTGTGTTTTAGTTTAAAGTAAATGATTTTTATACGGTTGTGTTAGTTTCTTATTTCTTAAAATTCTTTCTTTCCAATGCGGATTTCCCTATATTTCTTAGACCTTTATTTCACAATTACACACAATTTATTGTAGGGTTAAGATAATTCTGGTTATGCGGTGTCTTGATTTTTAACTTCCCGCTTTGATAATTAATAATTTTTAAAAGTAGGAAGTTACATATTTAGGCCCGATTTTGAGAATGTGAGTTTTCATCAGATCATCACATAAGATGTGTGTGTGTGTGTGTATGTGTGTGTGTGTGTATGCTCGTATGTATGTATGTATGTATATACATAAAATTTTGTCGTACGGTATCTTTAGAACGAATTAACCGATCGAGGAACACAGCGTTCGAAAGTGTTCATTGAGACTTCGAGCTGATTACATTTTCAAGTCAATCAGTCGAGCCGTTTCAAAGGTTTTCAAAAAATAATATAAAATTTAAATAGATTTTGGAGGGTTGCGCTCAAAAATAAGCGGGACGTTCCAGGGATGGCCTCCAGGGTCAACCGTTTTTCAGATTTTTTAAATTGTGTTCGATGCAGGTGTCTATGGACTGCAGCAGACCACAAGTTTGTTCGTCACTATTATGATATAATATTAGTTTTTTTTTCCTTTTATCATAGAATATGCCATACATTAATGAATTTAAAGTATTAAATTTTGTACATGGTAGAGCCATGCTGCAGTTATATTATAGTTGCGGCACAAATGGGTCAACTCGACCGAGGAAAGATCACACCGTCACAGAATGCCAGCGTGAAATAGCAGCTTAATGCTGCTGAGTTTCTTCATCATTCATCATCATCATCATTACAACCTTTCATAAGTCCACTGCTGAACATAGGCCTCCCCCAAGGAAATGCCACTAAGCACGGTCCTGAGCCACCTGCATCCATCGACTGCATGTCTTACCAGGTCGTCACTCCATCTCGTGGGGGGTCGCCCCACACCTCGCCTAATGGTACGAGGCTGCCACTCAAGAACCTTTCTTCCCCATCGGTTGTCGGTTCTTCGAGCTATATGGCCGGCCCACTGCCACTTCAGCTTACTAATCCGTTGGGCTAAGTCGGTCACTCTGGTTCTACTGCGGATATCCTCATTTCTAAATTTATCACGCAGAGAAACTCCGAGCATAGCCCTCTCCATAGCTCGCTGAGCGACCTTGAGCTTCCTCATACGGCCAGCATCAGTTCCTTATGGTGAGTTTACTAAGCCGGAGAGTAATTTTATTAGTAAATAGGCATTCCATCAACAAGGATAGATGTAGATGTCTATGGGCCACAGTATGCATTTACCATCTGGTGGAATGTGCTCTCGTTTGTCACTTTTATTATATGAAAATAAAAATCAATAAAATGTTTATAATTAAAGTTTTCAATTTGGTGGGAAGGAACTAGGAAGACTATAGTCTAGTCTTGCCTCGCCCAAATAGTAAGCACATTCGGAAAACAATGGCTGCTTGTGTTCCATGAAAAATAATTTTAAACATAATATATATTACACGCATTCGTTATTTCCAGTGACATCAACTACTTGCCGAATCCACGTCGTGTCGCATCATGCGGTTATGGGACTGCTCTTACAGTTATGATTCACATCGACACCGATGATTACTTTAGTACCAGCGTACCATCTAGTGGCGCAGTGGTAAGAAGTTCAGATTATTAAATTATAATATAAAGAAATAAGTGTACAGGAATGAACTTGAGGAATTTTTTTATTACTTTTCACCCACTATGCGATCTGGGGAGAGGGGACGCAGATTAAGAATAATAATTTATTAAATTGAAGGTGACTTATATACAGTAATTATGACGCAGGTGAATAGATAGGAGGCAGGTTTCGTGTTACGTGGTTACAGGTAAAGATACGTGTATGGTGTCTTCTTATACAAATATAATATGACATTACTGAACTAACAAAATATCATTTCTACATTTCATGAAGACACGTATACTCCAAATATATGGAGTAAACGTGTCTTCATGTATTATATTCAGCTTGCATTGCACAGTCTTTTATGTCAGAAACATTTGTAAAGGGCCATACAAAGTTGAATAGTGGACGGTATTTCGGAGAGTGAATAGAAGCACTTGCGAATTATAACCGTGAAACTTTAATGTGACACATGAAAATATCTAAAATAATTCGGATGTTGCAACTTGTAAAATATTTAATAATTTATATTTTTGTTGCCAACGCTAGCGGATCAATGTTATGGAAAAACAAAGAAAATGAGCAAACAAACAAACAACCTGTTGATTTTACTCAAGCCTCGATCATTTTTGAGAATTCGTCAGCTTCTATCGATTCTTTGCTCCGGGCACGGATGATTATGTTATAAGCTGCACTTAGTTTACTCAACGTGCCTCATCCTCTCATAAACTGAGTCCAACATAGTCGAATAAAACCTAGAAAGGTTATCTCCAAATATAAATGTTCTCCATGGTCCAGTGACCTAATTATCAATCAAATTACTAATTATTAATGTGCTGGCCAAAATAAACAATGATTGAAATAAGTATCGAACGAACGAATGTATCAGATGCTTTCTTTTTCTGTTTTATATTATCTATTATCTACTATTATCTATTGAAATGAAGTGAAATAAAATCTTTTTTCGATAACATTGTCATCATTTTACAGCGTATGAAAAGTTAACACTACGCGTGTCCTTAAGGCTAGAGTGAATACAAGCTTTTGTTAGGTACGCTAAGACAATTTTGTTACGATTCACCAGGTACGACTTCATCACACCACCAGTTGAGATTGTAGTCAAGCATGGGCTTAATTTAGTTAAAAAAAATTGCCGATTGTATATTTTTTATTTATAAACAACAAAATAGTATTATGTATTTCTATCTATCGCTATTTAGTGAAAAGAGAGAGAACTACATTAATATTTTTATAAATTGACGACAAATTTTGTGAGAGTCAATATACCTTTAGAAACCTTATCGAAATTCATCCTAGTAGAGGTATATATACGAATAAATATAATTCTAAAATTAGAACTAAAATCCCAATCAAATGCAATTGAATCCTTTTTTTACACTGTTTCTAACAAGTTAAAATTCAAGTTTTTATGAAATTCAAATTCGTAATTATTTATTGTGGACACTAGTTTTATATATAACAATATATAATGCTAAGTCTTCTATGCTCTGTCCATTATATACATACAAATTAATATTTAAATTGAAATAAATAAGGAAAAAGGAAAAAAACACGTAGAGAGAAAAAAAAACAAGTCGTGCTTTATTATCAAACAAGCGTTCCTGCTTCGTCTGGGTGGAATTTATTTATTTTATACGAACGTAGCGTTATTGAAATTAATGATAAACATCAAATACCATGTGTAATTTTTTCAGTTTAAATTCGATTAGTTTCAGTTTAATTTAAATTAGACTAGATAAATCATAGTGATATATCATTAATCCTAAATAAGTCGATTATAATATAATTATTCAATTTGTTTTGCCGTGATCCTAAACTCTTCGCTGTAACTGGCATTAAAAAAGATCAAATGGACAATAATATAACAAATTGAATCAGTATTAGAAATGTATTCAACTGCCGCATGAAAATGGAGTTTAGTTTAAGCTGCTTGATTTATTAAATATCTAATATCAATTTTAACCTTGCAAGTGACACATGGCGCTACTGCAAATGTTTCATTGAATAATAATTGATAATATGTTTCATTGCGTTCAAGATTAAACTGTATTACTGCTGCATATGACGAATGGTAATTCAGCGAATTTATATGACCCGGTTACCGGGTCAATCTAAAATTATTTGTTTCACCGACATACCTCGGAAATCACTTCAAGCCAACACCTGATCTCTCTCCAGTAGTGTCGGATTTCCGTCCCATTGACTATGAGAGTGAAACTTAGCTTGCTATCTGAAGATGGAACGTAAATAATTAGGATACCTAGAATTAAATAGGAACCTTTGTAAGTTTACACTGGCTCTTTACATTTTAAAAGCGAAGCAGTTTCGTCATTAGTACGAAATAACAATGTAATGTTTAGTCATTGTATTGTTGAGTTCCTCCGAGTCTTGATAGAGAAAATGGAGTGAGTGGCCTCTTATTATTTCGTTTGCTTGGCCCGGCCACTCTGAATCAATATCTAAAATGTGCACTGTTTCAATGTACTCGTCTCTAAAAGTATTTTTAACATTTTCTTTTTAATGAAAATCTATACTTAGGAGAAAATACATCCAAAGGTGACGTTCAGCGCAGCCCCGACTAACTAAAAATTATATTATGTATCAAATCAATGGTAGAACAATCCATAGGAGTTTTCTTGTTGCTATGGAACGTACTCAATTAACACGATATATGCTAATATATGATTGATTAAGAGTTCAAAACATATGAAATAAATAAAAATTGGAATAACGCCTTTATTTCTCACTCAATATCACTAATTTTTATTATTACAAGATTTAGTGAGTAATGAACTACAATTAGTGACTTACGAAAAAAGTAGTGACTAGTAATACCTAAGGAGATATAGCCCTTTTTTTGGGAGGATTCTAGCTTAAATTCAAGCTAGTAGCCTGCATTCGAATACGCCATTGCTGTCTGTTTTTGAGACGTAATTCCTATTTAAAGATTTAATGAGCAATTGGTGATTTTCATTTACCAAGACTGAAACATATTACACCAACGGAACCGCAGTAATAAGTCCTACGGAGGATACTGGCTTGCAGATTATAATTATATCAGTGAACATTTCCAGAACGCCTCACTAAATTTGAGCAATCGGGCAACTTTCATTCGTTTAGCACGGCTACCTTTAGTTGTGCCTATATATTTATAATATAATATGTATGACTGCAAAAAGTCAAATTTCTTAGTAAAGTATAAGAGTTTCAATACATTCCATTAAATTATGAATGCCTCGATACGTCTTTTGCCGATACCGAAACCGATACCGATACGCTTATTCAATTAAAAAAAAAGGTAAAATAAATAAAACACAAGTCAGGTTATTTTAATTAATATAAAAAGAACAAATTACAGGACAAACTAATTAAAACCGTTTAAAACTATAAACAGGTTGAGATTATTTATTTTAATAGTTTTAGTAGTTAAAAAAACATTGATGAGATTTTTGTTTAAAAATAAAAAGTATTCTTTATCAACATCGGGAACGAGCTTGCACAAAAAATGGATAACAATCGCACAGTTTTACCAAAATCTAATCTGTCATTTTTTGTTTTAGAATCCATGGACACTGACGAAATTAAATTACTTATTAACTCGCTTACACATAATGCAGCTACCGGCAGGGACGGATTTCCTCCGAGTTTTTTAAAACGATACTCCTCTATTCTAGCACTTATTTTAGCCCATATTTATAATCTTTGTCTGGAATCTTCTGCCTTTCCTAATTCGTTCAAGAGGACTATCATCCATCCAATCATCAAGAGTGGTGATGGTAATCTGATTAATAATTATCGACCCATTGCGGTGCTTAGTGCCATATCCAAGATTTTAGAACGTTTAATCAGCAGGCGGCTATTAAAATATCTGGAGCACTGTGATACTATCTCGTCCCATCAGTTTGGATTTCATAAAAATAAATCAACTTTTGAAGTTATTCACGAATTTTGTTTGTTAGTAAGCTTAATGACAACAAAAAAGTCCTCACAATATCCTTGAATTTAGCTAAGGCTTTCGATACGGTTCCAATCAACACTCTTTTATTAAAACTAGAAAGTATAGGCATCAGTGGCTCTCTAGTCGAATGTTTCCGTAGCTACCTTTAAGGCCGGAATCTAAGAGTAAAAATAGCTAACCACATAAGTAATGAACTTTCTATATCTTACGGTGTGCCCCAGGGTAGCATACTCGGATCTACTCTCTTCTTGACCTCTGCAATCTTAAACTCCATAATTCTAAAATAGTTTCATATGCTGATCACACTGCTCTTACCTTCTTTGCTATTACTTGGACTGAACTCGAAAAAATTGCGCAAAGTGGCTTTAACATCACATATGATTGGCTCCGTGCACACACCCTTACTTTAAGTACAGCTAAAACTAAATTCGTTACTTTTTCTATCTCTCCAATATCACAACCAAAAACTCCAATAAAGTTAATAGCCCACTCATGTCATTACCTTTATTATGTGTGTTACCTCATAACATTTTTTTTGGATGAACCGATTTCAATGATTCTTTTTTTTATTTGAAAGCTGGTGCTTTACATGTGGTCCCAGTATAAATTGTATAAATTGATCAAGGTCTGACTAATAGTTTTTGAGTTATTCTTAATAATTAATATTGAAGTCGGTTGTACAAAATATTTCATTTTAAATTATTAATAAGCGATTGTTGAGTCCTCGGAGCCCTCTTACTATGGGCGTATATTATATTATCCTAAAACTAGTTGGTCCCTGCGCCTTCCTTCCAAAAGAAATAAGTGTGCAAATATCATTTAAAAATTTGGATGACTTGAAATTGAATGATTATCTTTCAAATAAATTATTGGTAAGTTGTAGGTAGGAGTCAAGATAAGGAGTCCTGCCACTTTGTTTTGCTTATAGAGATGACTTTCTAGTTCGTTATTTACTTAGCTATATTACCAGAGCCGTTACCGTTACAGTCTATTAAAGTCCACAACTGAACAA